TATATATATATATATATATATATAAAGTTCCATTTTATTGAAAATATAGATGGAAATTTATATTTTTCAATAAAATATAATGGATATCTATAATTCCATTTATGTAGTTTTTGTTCTAATTCTAAACAATTTATGTATTTAGATATTTTTCCCCAAATTCTTTAATCTTTAGGTCTTCTTAACTACTAGTCAAGGAATTAATAAGCAACCTTTTATTAAAATTACATTAAAATTATAAAGAAAAACATAATATTATAATTTTCAATAAAAAAAAGTATACTCTCGATTTCCAGCATTTTTCTTACTAGTTCTGAACCACATGCTGTTCCAGATTCCGAAGCATTTACTTAAACTCAAAGGGACCCTCCCACATTTCCTGTCTCACGTCTTCCTTCAAACAAAATCTTCCCCTCTCATAGTTATAATAATTTATTTACTTCTTTAGCTCATCGGTTAGTTTTCAACTCTTTCTACACTCAATTTTTTAACATTATTTTTGGAAGTGCATTTGAACCCTTCCTTAACTAGTAGTATGAAGCTAACCTTGTTAATGATATTTCAAAGTGCAGATTACTCTGGTTAATACTTAAAGACTAAAAGTCTTTCATTAAAATTGTTAATTAAAGTAGTTTGACATTTGGTCGGACACTCATGCTATGATCATATAGAAATGATCGCTTTATATTTATGTTAGGACTCATTCAATAAGAAAGAATTATACATTATTAACACTATTACTATTTATAAGATCTAATTAAAAAAATATTTATTTATTTTCGTGTTTTAATTACTGCAAATTACATTAATGAAAATTTTCTGCTAGTTATAACATTATTCATCCAAAAATCCCAAGCGTGTGGTTCAGCGGTAGGGTTTGATCCACGTTTAAGAAAGGTCAGGGGTTCGAATCCTTGTGTATGTAGCCGCGTTAAATCTTGAGGCCAGCTATCCCACCTTTTGAGGTGCCTCCCTGTAGCGAGGAGATTAGTCACTGCTATCGGTGATGGATACTCCAAGGACTAAAAAAAAAAAAAAAAACATTATTCATCCAAAATATAATCATATAAAAAAAATATATATTGATCTCATAGTCATAAAACACTAGTGAATATTAATTTATTATGGTTTTGGGCGCAACGAGATCTGCTGATCTACCTCTCATATTTGATAAGCTGCAGCGACCACCGTCAGCATTCCATACATACATTGCATGCAAACAAAAAGCAGTGTATAAACACACACACTGAAGCTTCATCTTCCAATCCCTCAATCTCACCTCAAAACGCGAGACTCCGATGCCGTTTTGATCGGATCCAATTCGGTTCCCGATGGGTCACGTGAACCTCCCCGCATCGAAGCGCGGCGGCGCCGCCCGCAAGTGTCGCGTCCTGGACCTGGTCTCCGCCGCCTTCTTCGGCCTCGTCTTCCTCTTCTTCGTGCTCGTCTTCACGCCCATGGGGGACTCCCTCGCCGCCTCCGGCCGCCACACGCTGCTCCTCTCCGCCTCCGATCCGCGGCAGCGTCTCCGCGTGGCTGGCC